GCGAAGAATGTTTTATATCATGTTTTTTCGCATGTCTTCGCTTTCTACTGCGCTACACTCCCTAATCCTATTTTCACTACGATATCACTGATGTTACTGACCGTCATGAGTACTAACCCCCTGTCGAGGATTTCCTCGACCGATATTCACCCTGGTGACCAGAGGTGCCGTAAATATCTCACATAGTTGACCGGACGATGAATCCGATGCGGTAGGCCGAGCCTTCAAGCCCTTCAAGATCGATCTGTTACTGTTAGCTTGTTGCTGTTGCTTCCACTCTCAGAGAAACTTAAAAAAAGACTAAAGTAGAGACCGTAGTATTGCTAAAATTCTTAATTGGGTGCCTCTGGAATGCTGAATTGAAGTTGAGTGCGTGGCTTGTACTAAGAGAGATCCTTTACACTCCATCCCTTGTATAGCGCAATCAAATTTAGCATTCAACTCCTGCAAAATGAACAATCGTCCAAAAACGAACTCTGTTTTTTTGTTTTGTCGTCCGCCTCACTGGCTACCATCTTGAAGGCATTGTCATCTTTTTTGAAATTGAATGAGAAGATTTCGTGAGCTTTATACTTCAAAACCTCCCTCCCTTGAAGGAATCCTTCCCGGAAAAATGTTGCACTCTTTCCCAACACGCATGTGTCAGCTGTGATCAGTAGAGACAAAATACAAAGTTTCATGCACAAAGATTCAGTTTCCGAAGAGGACAAACCACGCCCTAATGGACAATCGAAGGTAAGTGGCGCGGAGCTCCGTAGATGCAGTAGTCAAGTGTAGATTCAAAATGCAGTAAGTCGCAAAAATGCCAAGAAAGAAATTCTATGCGGCACTCGAAGAACTACTCGGTAAGAAGCATTCCCGCCGCCAGCATTTGTGACAGATGTCCGGCGGTACTTTGAACGCGTAGCAGCCCTTTCGGTTTTTCGAATTTTTTACCAAAACAAATGCAATTTTTTTCTTTTCGTTCTTATCGTGATCGATGGGTCCCAAGCCAGTGAATTATGGGTGAGATAGAATCACGATTCTTCGGAGGATTGCTTTAACCTTCAGTGAAACTCTTTCAACCTCTAGTGTTAAACGACATTTGACCTCCATGTGGCTTGGCATGATCAAGCAGACTGGCTGGCTTCCCAGCTCTACCGTTCGCTTTCCCATTCCAACTTCGTGTTCAGTACTCGTTCTCCGGTGCCCTCGGCAGTTTTACACCCTGTGACTAATGAGAAGTCACATACAGGGTGAATAACGGTCGAGGAATTCCTCGACTATGGCTCTCTACCGTGCGAGAGTAGAGCGTGAAAGAGATCCTCGACGAGCCGTTGTCGTTTCCTCAAGCGATTTTCACCCTGGTCACATATGAAAATTTGTCTTAGAGGAAAGAGATGCACCTATTGCAATCCTCGCAGATTAAATATGCCCAACAAGCGTTCGCAGATTTGGTGAACTTTACCCACCCGACCAGCTAAATCAGCCGCTCAGTGACCTCTCAAATTTCCTTAGTGTTCTCTGTAGAAAAAAGCTAGAGCGCAGACGATTAGAGGACGGAACTACCGCAGCTTCTAACTGTGTCAAACGAGCGTGTTAGCCGGAGGGAAACGGACAACTCAGGGGATCAGATAATTTGTGCGCTCGAATCTGAAATGAATTAGGAGCTATGGAGGCACTGAGGGTGCGCGAGCCACTTTTCGTGTGGCAAAGGACTCGGAGCATGGTTCAAATCGGCTCTGCAATCGAACCAGGGTCAACCGTCCGTTGGACAAAGTCCAACGCGACGACGAGAGTAATGCCGAGAGTGAACGTACGCACGGAGACACAGACGGCTCGCGGGTGGCGAGAGTGAATGCCGGCGCGGAGAGCGGTCAACATCGGTCCAACGTCGCTCCAATATCGGTCCAACGTAACGGTTGACCCTGAATCGAACTCGTTGCCGTGTTGACTCTGTTCCTCTGCACTCTAACTCCTGCCAGACAGAAACGCAGACATCATCGATGCAGTTCGCTGTCATATCGTGTCTGACACATTATTGATCGGGTTTCTTTTTATCCTTTACGTCATTGCCCCTAATTCTCTACTATTGAACCATGGATTTATAAAAACTCCTGCGTGAGTGATGAGATGCACTTATAATGCTCAACTTCTTCCTTCCAATGAACTTGCCTCGGTTTTTGGGGGAAGTGAGCCCAGAAACCCTGCTCTGTGAGGCCTTTCGCCCACATTCTAGCACCGTTTCTGGACGCACGGACCCCGACCCCGATGTCCCAGTAGAAGGAAGTTTGGGTAGTTCTCTTGCTCATCCCGGAGTTTCTCCTTCTCTTAAGACTAAACTAATGATAGGAGGGAGGAAGCAGGAAAGGGATTGGGTCAGTAAAGTGGTTTTCCCCAGGATTCTGTAAAGAACTTTGGGGACAACCATTCTCCACTTTCACTTACTTTCGAAATCGGCGTTCACCCTTCCCCTTTTCAGTTAAACTCCAAACAATCTACGCGTTTTCGTTAAAGGAATCTTGCGCGATACGAAAAAATCATGATTCTATTTCAGCCATAAATCACTGGCTTGAGACTCATTATCCACGATAAGTGTGAAAAGAACCGAAGTATTGCTTTCGTTTTGATTAGAAATTCGAAAACTCGAAAAGGCTGCTACGCGTTCGAATTGCCCACGGACGTCTTTCACGAATGCTGGCGACGGGGATGCTCAAACTTGGTTCTTGGAGTGCATTCACTAGAAGCTCTTTCTGGCCTTCTGCTTCGTTGCATTCACATCTTACACTTCTACTCCATCCTATTCCATCGATCGATTTGTCTCCACTCTCCGAAATCGCGCGCTTTAACCCGATTCTCTCATTGCGTCGCCTGGTACGTAGCCGGCCAAACGCCGTCTTCTTTCCATGCCTCGCCTGGCTCTGCCTCCTGGTCCTTCGATGGTCCATAACGTGTAGTTTTTGTACGTTTGTTTCTCTTCAGAAACCGAATCTTCATGCGTGAAACTTTGTGTGCTATTTCCAGTGATCACAACTGACATATTCATGTTAGGAAAGAGTGCAAGAATTTTCCGCGCAAGATTCCTTTAATGAAAAGAAAACGAGGAATGAACTGAACGGATATTTTTCTAAAGTCCGGAAAACCTTAACCAAATCAAAGAATATTTGCCCATTTTGCGAGCCACCTGGGTTTTTTTAAGTATGCTAATTTATGGCCTATATAGAATGAGAACAAGAAATTTTGTGAAGAAATCGGACATGTGCGGGAAAAATCGGTACCAGAGTGCTTGACCCGAGCGGTTTCCGAGTGTACCCAATGGTGCCTTAAAGCAACAGTTCAGGAACGGTTTCGCGGGAAAAAACCACCAATAATGAAGTTGTAGATGAAAACCAGACGATTAATGTATGAAAAACTGGAAAAAAACGTCGGGGAGGGTCTTAGACAGGTACTCTCCCTCTGCCGCTCAGCAATGGATAAAGACGCACGTTGGACGAGTTGTCTGAACGTGCCCGCTGTAAACGCGCTCCATTTTTCAATCAATTTTCCCTGTGGTCCCAAAACGAGCACGATTGCCGACGCGTCCAATGACGGCCGGCAAGGGGGCGGGATTGGGGAAATCCCCAAGAACACCCATGTTTGAGGGACTTTCCACCCTGTTTTTGAGTTTCTGAGGTAAGTTCGTTTATTATTTCCACTGCATATGTTCTTCACTAGGGCTCGTGTATCCCTCAGTAGTAGTGGCATTGAAATTTTCGGACCCTCCCTGAACTGTTGCTTTAAATGTTGACGCGCATGCGCGTCAGCCTGTCATCAGCGTGTCGAACCGCCTCAATTTAATACTCCCGCCTGCGCTCTCTCGCCTAGACACTGGCTCATGACTACTGTAGTCTAACACATTCGAAGCTTTGCCATACTGTAATTAGCTCATCCACCCGGGTGTTGTTCGCTAGGACAAAAGGCGAATTTTTTGCGTTTCGCAGCGCGAAACATGAGAGTTTCGAAAGTCACGTGAGTTTCGAACTAGAGGCAACGCAGACGAAGCCTTAGAGGAGCAGACGAACAGAGCATGGCCCCTCCAACTACGTTAGCACCAGCTCTCGTGAAATCTTATTGTAAAAAAAAGGAACGATAAATTCCAATAAAACGCCCTCTAATGAGCCGTGCATATGTGAAGTCGATTGTTGCGTTCTATGAAGTATTATTCTGAGTCTGCACACTACTATTATTCCTCAGGACTTTTGTTTTTAATTTCCCTTCCCCTACAAGGTATCTCATTTTCTTATCAGTGTAATTCAAGGCAAGGGTATCATCTAGTATGGGGGAGCATCGTGCTTAAGCGCTCAATTTGTTTGAATCCCATTTTCCTTTATTGTAAACGTTCAGGACTAATGGTAAGATGAGGGAGACGCTGAGGGCGTGAGCAATCTTCACTTTACCCATAGTTCCTCCTCCTCCTGGGCTTATCGTTAGTCGTTCTCTAGGTGTATATTACATTCCGTAGACGTACGTTAGTGTGTTTCAGCACAAGAAAGCATACAGTTTACAGAAGGCCTGAAGGCGTAGCGTGGGAATAAAGCTACAGCGTAATTTTGAAGAACTCCTTGAGCCGAAATGGCATTAGAGCAGACTGTGAGCACTCTGCCCTCCTTACTGGATGAGACTCCAAAAAAATTCATTGGTTGAGAAATATGTTCGCCCTGAATGGCCGTCCACAGTAAACCTTCTACGTTTGTCGGTTCAAACTCTCCTGCGATTCTGGAAGGAATTCGTCCGCGTGGCGCATTCCAGTAGAGTGCACCATTTCTCGAATTTTAGAAAATGGTGGTGTACAGATTTCGTTGTTTACTTTGTGGACTGACAAAGGAACTCAAGTATGGTCGCCGTTCGTCATCCGGCCGACATACTGCTATAATGCTCGCTTCACTGGTGGTCTATAGAGAACTGGACGCACAGTTTGCGAAGTCGGTCTATTCTGATATAATGTTGACTAGAAGAAGGCTGTGCACTGATCATTTTGCAGAAGCTGTGAGTTGCAATCCTTTAGAAAAAACTCACTACATTTTTTTTTCATTTTTGGATCCTGATCCTGCGGCTCCGTGACTTTTTCCCCGTTTAGGCTGGTGTCAGAGTCCGCGAATCGCGCGACGGATCGCGGACTCTGGCACCAGCTTTAAAGGCGTGGCCGCGGCCAACACTGTCGAGTCGGTAGTGTGCTTGCAAGCAGATACATTCAAGGAGCGCACGAACAGGGTCAACCGTCCTTAGCTCCAGTCAAATATTTCACGACCCATTCTTTTAAAAGGTCTCAACAGGACTCCCACAAGCACCATCGGCCTCAGGAGGTTCCTCGGGTACCCCCCCCCAGGAGGCCCGTCGCGCGGCAAGAAGGCAAAGTCAGCGGACGAGTCGCGTACTATAGGGATTTCGCGTCAAGTTAAATAGAGTGTCCCACTGCACGTCCTACATCGCACACCACGCGCTGCAACTCGTCCGCCGACTCTGCCTTCTTGCCGCGCGACGGGCCTCCTGGGAGGTGCACCTAGGTCCCTCCTATGCAACCCCTTCTCAACCCCATGCCCATCACCCATAACCTTTCACCATCCCACACCAGCCGGGTTGTTTCTGATAGTATTGCCTGGAGACCGTCGACGCTGAGCCCATACCTCGCCATCGCCACTTTCTATCCAAAACGAATTGTGAAAGGGGGAGCCAGGGAGAATATGGCAAAGAAACGGCAATTTTAACCTTCACCACCACTGAATATATGGATACAACCCGTCCAAAAATGAAATATCATCATCTCCCCCTTGACAACTGCGCAACACATGGTTGATCCTGCGACAAATCACGACGTTTTTCAAATTCCTCGCAATAGCGGGACAGGGTGCCTCGCTAGACAGAAGGGCTTTCTTCGGCCGTTTCGGACCGCCCGACCACATTTTCTCGCTGAGAACCTCCAGTCCCACTCACGATCAGCCCGTGACCTACGTCCCTCGAGGCAAACAATTTTCGCACTGCCGAAACGCGAATCACTCGCCGAGTCTTATGTCTACGACCACACCCCAGGAGCATTACCGACTGTCCGCACTCGCCACGGCCGTAGTTAGAAAAAAGTCATCGATTCTGATTCAGAGATAAATTCTCTGGCGGATTTTTCCCTCAAATATTCACAAGAGTGCAATTTTAGCTGAACATATAATTTTTGTTGTTCAGGCGAAATGTATATTTGCTGATATTGGGGCTTTTGCCGACGATTCGTCTGATGCTGACTTGGATAAAGATGTAAATCTACCAACATGGGAACGCATCCTGGACCCGCATGGAACGAATATTCCGCCGCCGTCAGTGAACAGCTGTGTGTGAGTGCATTGAAAAAAGTTGTGATATGAAATAAACATGGAATTACTAGGAGCCCTTAACATAACATCAGCGCCAGGCATCATAAGCAGTTTATTTTTGGGACTGTAATGTATCTTTTCAAAATCAAGAACTTCGTATAGCATACATTATACGAAGTTATACGATCTCACTTTGCGCACCTCGTTGGACATTGAGACGCGTTACCGCGTCTCACCCTTATCATCCCTTTTTCTAGGGCATGCGCAGCTTTTTCCCGAATTGTTTGTCTCTCTTCTATGGATTAGAACATAACATTATTGTGAACGACATAGGTCATTGTTTGTTCAAATATGCTCCAGTTTAGAAGAAGTTTTCCAAGCTCACCGAAACCGGCGGCTTGGTTCATTAATAGTTTTCATGCTATTCTCATGAACACGTCAATAAAAAAGGGTAGTGAAAGTAAATGCAAATCTAAAGAGACAGAAAAATACATGTTTCACTTGGTATAACCACATCAAAAGAGCTTTTGGCATCCACTACAGATAAAATGACTAAAGTTTCCTTTTTCATTACCATTACATGTTCTTTAATCGGAACTTCGTCACTATATACTCTATTACCTTCTACGCATTGACTGTTACTGAGATGTTTTTGTACCACTGGTGCTTTAAAAAGTTATCAATAAAAATTCACGGATCCGAGGTGCGGCGGTCGCACTCGCAAAATCGGCCCGGTCCCACACGGCCAAAAAAGCCAAAACGCGCGCGGTCGTCAATGTGTTAAAAGAGTGTCCCACTGCACGTCCTACATCGCACACCACGCGCTGCAACTCGTCCGCCGACTCTGCCTTCTTGCCGCGCGACGGGCCTCCTGGGGGTACCCAGGTCCCTCCATACAACCCTTCCTTCAACCCCAAGCATCACCCATAACTCTTTCACCATCATCACCACCGGGTGTTTCTGTAGTATTTGACTTGGAGACCGGTCGACCGAGCCCAACCTCTGCCCATCGTCCACTTTTCTCTCCAAAACGAATTGTGGAAAGGGGGAGGCAGGGGGTGAATATGGCTAAAGAAACGGAAATTTTAACCTTCACTACCACTGAATATATGGATACAACCCGTCCAAAACTGAAATATTATCATCTCCCCCTTGACAACTGCGCAACACATGGTTGATCCTGCGATAAATCACGGAGCATTTTCAAATTTCCCCGCAATTGCGGGAGCAGGGTGTGGTTCACTAGGACAGAAAGCGACTTTTTCGCGTTTCGCAGCGCGAAACATTTTTCGCTGCGGGAACCTCAGGTCCACTCATGATCAGCGGTGGACCTGAGGTTCCCGCAGCGAAAAATGTTTCGCGCTGCGAAACGCGAAAGTCGCTTTCTGTCTTATTGTTAGCGAACCACACCCCAGGAGCATTACCGACTGTCCGCACTCGCCACGGCCGTAGTTAGGAAAAAGTCATCGATTCTGATCCAGAGATAAATTCTCTGGCGGATTTTTCCCTCAAATATTCACAAGAGTGCAATTTTAGCTGAACATATATTTTTGTTGTTCAGGCGAAATGTATATTTGCTGATATTGGGGCTTTTGCCGACGATTCGTCTGATGCTGACTTGGATAAAGATTGGATCCTAACAAACGATGGGAACATCCCTGGACCCGCTATGGAACGAATATGCGCCGCCGTGAAACAGCTGTGTGTGAGTGCATTGAAAAAAGTTGTGATATGAAATAAACTTAGAATTACTAGGAGCCCTTAACATAACATCAGCGCCAGGCATCATAAGCAGTTTATTTTTGGGACTGTAATGTATCTTTTCAAAATCAAGAACATGGAGATTGGGTTAAACGCAGGTCATAAGACAAATCGGTCGCTTGCTGAGAACGAATAGTCTTCTTCTTCTTCTTCTTCTCCCTAGCGTTAGTCCCGCGCCGTCGCAGGGTCCGCTGTCTTATCAGTCGTCGCCACTTCGCTCTGTCCAGGGCATCCCCTGCAGTGGCCATGATTTCGCTTAGGTCCTTCTTGACTACGTCCTTCCACCTCTTCTTTGGGGCTCCTCGCGGTCGCTTGCCTTGCGCTTCGAAGTCCATTGCATTCCTTATTGGGTGGCCTTGTGGTCTTCTTAGCACATGCCCATACCACCGCAGTCGCTGCTCCCTCACCTTCAGCTGGACAGGGGCAGTCTGCATGACCGTTCTGACATCCTCGTTCCTGACCCTGTCCAGTCGCGTCCAGCCGCAGGCCCATCTCAGCATCCTCATTTCGGCCGAGTGAAGCTGCCTTTCGTGGATTCTTGTTCAGGGGCCAGCACTCGCAGCCGTAGAGCATCGCAGGCCTTACCACTGTTCGGTACACCTTCCCTTTGAGCGTTCTAGAGCACCTTCGGTCGCAGAGGATTCCAGTGGATTCCCTCCATTTCATCCATGCCGCGTTGATCCTCCCCTTTACTGCCTGGTCCCACACTGCCGTCGGCCGCCAGATCACTCCCAAGGTATCGGAAGTCCTCCACTCTTTCGATGCTTTCGCCATGTCCATCCACGATCGGCTCTGCACTCTCTTCGGAGCTCAGGAACTTGGTCTTCTTGACATTTAGCCGGAGCCCCCCTTCTGCCAGGGCCTTCTGCCACTTCTGCACCTTGGCCTGTAGTTCTTCTCTGCTATCAGCTATGAGGGCGATGTCGTCAGCGTAGAGGATGGTCTTTAGTGGCCCTTCTATGAGCCCCTTCACCATGACATCTAGTGTTAGGAGGAAGAGGAACGGACTCAGAGCTGACCCTTGATGCACCCCAACCGTGATGTTTACCTCTTTTGTTAGGCCATGTGGGGTGCGTATGGCTGCCTTAGCCCCGTCGTACATGTCCTTCACCAGCGAGACCAGGTGTTCTGGCACGTTCCGTTCTCTAAGCGCTCTCCACAGTACCGCTCGTGGTAGCCGGTCGAACGCCTTCTCCAGGTCGAGGAAGGCTAGGTAACAGGGTCGGCGCTTTTCTCACTTCTTCCATCACTCGTAAGTGCAGCTGTAAGAAAAACTCAGAACAGCGGCCTAACAACCGCGAAACGAGGCGCTTATTTTGCTTATTGATTTCTGCGTTAAGGCGAATCTCATAGATGCTCACATGATCAACGTGGACGCTCTGTTTTGCCTCTCTGCTCAAATGTCTGGAGTTCGATAGCAGAGTCTGTGGCTCATTCGCCTTGCTGGCATGGTTATTTAATTGCTTAAAATTCCGTCCTGTTTCTTTCAAAGCGGCGGTACACAGGCGCATTAGCGAACGCTCCTTCAGCTGCAACGGTGTCAAACGAATGGAGGCAATTTAGGGGATGGGGCACTTTCCGTGTGGCAAGAGTTTAAATGTGCGAGGTCACTGTCGCCATGAACCACTATTCATGCGAGGAAACGGCAGAACATTGGCGCTCCTGAAAGGAACAAGTTCAAGTAGCCGTGCTGGTAGGCTTGGAGAGCCACGAAGAGAAAATAATAAGCCGCGGACAAATCCTGCTTCGACGTTACGGTCTACCCTTTCCGCACGGAAACGCTTCATCAGTTTCCCTAAGCTTCTAAAACGTCTTTTCAGCAAATGTACTTCAATTTTTCGACCTTCAATTATATCGTAATCTACCTTTAAGGGGCGTTGAACGCGGTAGCTGACTGCTCTACACTACGGGCCGAAACGAACATGACTAGTCGCGACTGTAACCTCTTGATTCACACCCAGAATATTAAACAATCTTTGGGCTTGGGCAGGCTCGTATTTATTCCGAATTGGCAAAAATAGCAACCTGAGAGCTTTGGTACCAATCTCGAACACGCTGCAATGCTTATATCCATTATTTCCTATTGCAACACAAAAATCTCAAATATTTGATACATCGTAGTAAAGTTCCTCATGAATTTGCCGTTTTGGGTAAATCTCTACTGCAACTTTCATATTTGTGAGGGTTTTTAGGAGCAGTGTTGTGGTTTAGTTGATCACGAAAAGCCATTGAAATTACCTAGATAGCTCTGGCTAATTTCGTAACAAATTCGATTCCATTTTTCTTGAAGGAGAAATCAGCGCTGACGGCTGCAAATATTGGGAGCTTCTTGAATGATAGTCTTACCCGATATGGATCGGGAATAATTCCTGATAAACAGGTAAGCAGCATTTGTCATTTGAACATTATTAGTATTCATTTGCTGAACTGTTATAGCAATTTTGAGGAATCTTTCAGTATTTGTCTTCGCTTCGGTCTTCTCAATCGTTTATGGCTCCACCAGTTCTAGAGGAAACTGATTCACAGTTACTAGATGAGATTTTTCATGTGCAAGGCAGGAAACTGCTCGAATTATTTCGATACTGTCCATCATGTGGAACATCCTTGGATGAATCAAATGGTGGCTCTGTTCGTCTTTTGGCCAAGGAAAAAACACCCTTCGTTGACCTGATCTGTAAGAAATGCTGGTCGGCGAGGAGCGCCCAAATGCGCTGGGAAGGCATTCCTGGCGTCATGTGCGAACACGAAGCTCAGGCAAGTGGGTGAATGTTTGTTGATCTCTTTTCTTGCCAAATTCAGCAACATCACCTATTCAATTTTTAGATGTCAAAGAGGAGAGCTGGGAAGCTGATTCTGGTCAGCAACAGTTGGATTTTGTAGAAGATTCCAGTCTTATAGATAACGAAAGTGGAAATGAGGCTTGTAGCTCTAATACGAAGGGAGGTGGAGAAAATTTGGTATCTCATGAACCTAAGTGTTTGAACGAGCTGTCCCTTATCGATTGTGAACAGTCCAGAGTCAGTTTTCAACTCTAATTTGTTTCGAAAAATTTCTTTTCTAAAAAAATCAGTAACATTTCTAGAATCGCGTGTTGATGAGGTTCCGGTGCGTTTTATGTGGTGGCGTTCGCGATCTTGAACATGGTCGTCGTTCTAGCTCTAGCCATTATTTGTCAGCAGTACTGATATCGTCGTTAATGTTTTTCAAGTCTTTCGATTTGGTCGAAGCTAGAGCTGCATATATTGCATGCAAAAACAAGAGGAAACTGTTGTGTAGAAGGCATTTTGCAGAAGTGGTGAGAAATTTTTCTGTTTTCGACTTTGCTATACCAACGCAACTTTTTGTATGTTGCTCATTATTAAGAGGAAATGTCTTGCTACCGAAATAGTGAGTTCTGGTGGGAAACTTCCGCATTCTGACGGAGAGTTGAATTCAGTCCGTGCTACTGATTTTGAAATACCGCCTCAGCTTCTGGATTCTTTGAATACTTGCGCTCAGAAGTTAGAAGTGAGTTTAGTTTACTGTAGTATGTTCCCCTCAACGGTTTCAGCAGTTCGTCTTACTTTTACTTTGTGGTCTCAATTGTGCATTTAGAGCGATTTAATTCTGAAACCATGCAATGTTGCTCTCTTCTTGTATAATGGCCTATCACGGAACGATTCCGAGAGCCATGAGGACGATGAAACGCCAGTTGAGAAACCAACAGTACGTTATTAGGATTTCTCTGATATTCTTACGTTAGTGAACTCGTCGTTTAACAGGATACTGCAGCGATTAATTACTGCAATGAATCTTCAAGTCAGGAGTCGCCTGACCTTGAGTTGCAACGGAAGTTGTGGCCAGTTGAAGGAAGAAAGCTTTTGGAGTTATTCAGCTTCTGCATGGTTTGTGGAACATCCATCGAAAAAGCGAACGGAAGTTCAGTTCGTTTAACAGCAAAGGGACAAGTTCCTGTTGTTGAAGTGTTGTGTGGAATGTGCTGGATTTCAAAAAGACCACAACAACGATGGGAAGGTCAGAGCAGTGATGCTTTTGAGGAGAAGATGCGAAGTATGTTCTTACTTCCATCAATTCAGCTAGTTTTATTCTCTTTTCTTTTTTCCAAATAACCTTACAGTAGAAGAAGCCGAGAGCAATGCAGTGGCAATGCCGAAGAGAAATGGAGATAAGTTGGGCAGGTCAGTGGGCCATGAGAATGGCGAACATTTCGAGGTTACTGAAGGAACACCAGACGGCAACGCCATAGACGGCGCACACAATAAGCATAGGGCTCAACATCTGATTGAACGGCCAGAAGTATGTTTTTGTTCTTTTGTGACAAGATTCTAACACCAGGAACATATTCCAGAGCAAGGTGATGCTGCGATATCGGTGCGTCTTGTGTAGTCTCACATGTCCTTTGAGCTTGGGCCGAATGTCATTTTCTTCCCATATACTCTCAGCAGTAATGTTATCATCTCTTATGGTATTCAAATCAATGAGTGTCGATTCTGCAAAGGCGGTGTACCTCGCTTGTAAAGACAAACGGAAAATGATGTGTAAAGTGCATTATGCGGAAGCGGTACGTTTTGGATGGCGCTTTTCGTATCTCTAAATCTTACAATTAGCTTTTTTAGGCCAAGTACATAGTCGCAGAATTGAGTGCTACCGTAGGCACTTTTCCACGCTTCGTGGAAGGTGTGGGTTCGATATTCAAAAAGGACTCTGATGTACCCGATCATTTGTTGGATTGCCTTAACAACAGTGTGAAAACGTTCAGTGTGAGTGACAGTATCATTATCGATTTGATTTGCTTAAGTTCATTGTTACTATACCACTATACTGTTTTATCCTTGGCTAGTTCTAATGGAAACGCGTCGGTCGACGCTCACTAAATAAATAAATAAAAATCATTCTTAACTTACTCAGTATGCTTCTAGGGCAGCATTATTGTGACTGCTAGAGATGTTGGACATTTCTTGAATGGAAACTTAGTCAGATATTATGAGAACAGCAACCCGGACAATAATATGTGCTCAAATTGGCCGCCGGTGAGCAGTTCATTCACTATTCGCTTTATATTCTTCAAAAGAGGCAAGTGTTCAGGATCTACCAATGGCCTCACAATGTGAGTATGACCTGAGCATGTCAGAGGCGCCTCCAACCCTCAGTGAAACTTCCCCCGAATTACTCGATGAGATATTTATGGTTGAAAGCAAGAAGCTGTTTCTTTTGTTCCGCCACTGTCCCGTATGTGGTACTGCCGTCGATAGAAAGACAGGAGGATCGGTTCGCCTTCTTGTCATGGGAACCACACCGATTGTTGATGTAGCTTGCGGGGTGTGCTGGATTTCTCGAACAACTCAACGACGATGGAAAGGTCTTTCAGAATCGAAAGGAGAGAAGGGAGTCCGCAGTAAGTTTGGTTTTTGGAGAGTTCATAATTCTTTGATTCATGTATCTTTGCATCATATGTTCTATATCATTTGAATATGTGTTCTTTTATTAAGAAAGAACTCGCGATGAGCATAGCTCGAGCTTGAAGCACAGTCACAATTATGAGCCCAAATCCGAGCGATGCTACTGGAATGAGAACTTGGCTTCTCAAGAAACTACACAAGATTTTCTTTGCCACATCCAGGATCTCAAACCTTTTGAAGGTCAAAGTACGAGCTACGACAAGCCCAAGGAAAGCAGGATCAGTCCTCTCAACAAGGTATCAGTTTGGAGATCAGTATGTTGACAAGGCGTGGAAATGAGTAGGCCTAAGTTTTTTTTTACCTATGTAATAGCTGGAATTGTTAGTAGCGATTTCAGAGCAAAATATTGCTGAGATATCGTTGTGTTCTTTGTGGCTACACCCGAGATCTGTGTTTTGGTCGCATGTCATCTTCAAGTCGCCAGTTGACCGGAGTGTTGCTCACATCTTTGATGTTTTTCAAATCAATGGGCCTCGACCGAGCAAGAATGGTTTACCACGTATGCCTCAAGAGACGAAAAATGTTATGTAAAAAACATTACAGAGAAGCGGTGAGCTCACCCACTTTTTGGGGGTTCGATAACTTTTTTCTCTGACGATGAATTAAATTAAGTAAATTTTTTCAACATCTAAAGTAAGATCTCACCTAGGCGACATGCATTGCCAGTGAAGTAGCGGCTGCAGCCGGTGGGCTCTCCAATTTGTGTGGTAATGAGGGAAAGTTGCGAGACTTCGAGATACCTAGTGATATTCTGGACTGCCTCAATGCCTGTGCCCGTCACATAGATGTAAGTATTCTACCCTATGTTTTATGGTTGATGTATAGAATGCATTATAACGACGTTTTTCGGCCATGACAATTTGGATGTTCAAGTCGGGAAAGACAGAAAGGGGGAGACGAAAAAGAGCGATAGCAAAGGCGAAAAAGACGCTAAAGAACACCGCGTATGTGACACCGAAAAGCAAACCCCCTTCAATTAGCGTCTTTCAGGGATGATAATGGCAGGGTACAATACGATTAGGTAATCATTATCGTTCACCTTTTATTTTGGAGGGAGCATCTTTTCGAACCGGCGCATGTTTATTCTTACGCTGTCATCTCTTAGGCCGTGTTCATAGTTCGCCACTCCGAGATTAGGATAGTACGCGACAATGTAAAAGATATGTATTCGTGGGAGATTAGGATAGTAGTAGAGTAGGATGGTGCGCTGACAAGATACGTATTGATGGATTCGTCCAAAGCGCCTATTCCACTACTCTGCAGTGATTTCAATCGATACCTATCTGATCTTGTCTCTGTGCTGACAAGATGTCAGCACAATATCCTACTCTACTACTATTCTAGTACCTCATCGCCTACTATCATAATTTCCGAAATCGCGAACATTGAACATATTCTTAAACCAGATTATCACTATCCTGGTCGTGAACCCGTGCACCACTCGAAGTATAAATGGTCAGATATGGTCCCTTCAGCGGAAAAACGTTTTCTTCTGAAATTTCCGTAGCGTTTTCTGTAGTACCAATTAGCAATTATAATTTCGTATTCAACCGCATCAACATATCATTACCTCTTACCTTAGGAAACCCTTTTACTAACGACAGCCAACGTTGCACATTTTGTGGATGGTAGTTTTTCTCCATCGGATGACATCGATGAGTCAGGTGAGACACATTGTTGCCTTTTATAAGCTCGAAAAAACAGAAAATTGTCATCATCAAGTTAACGCGGGGAAACTGTTTACGTTAAGAAGTTGCTGATGTAGAATACGACAACAACATCACATCAAAGCGTTCACGGATGGATGAAGAAGTAACCCAAAACCGTGAGCAAGAAAGTGCCCGTGGTACCGTTTGTGTGGATGGAATTGAAGGAGGGGAATTCCCATGTGAAGACTTATTTTCTGTTCATGACATTAAGGTTGGTGGCACTTCACTCTGTTCTCAAGTTGTAGCTTAATACTGTATTGTTCAGGTTGAAGAATAGTAGGTCGATCAATCGAACAAACAGAAGGTCAAAACTACGAGACATGGTATACTCATGCACGAGGAAGGACGATAACAGTCGAATATCGGTGTGGTCAATTTTCAAGAAGCATGGTGCAGGTAGCATGAGATCTCTGTACAGGGTGGTCCAAAATTATGAGGACCGCGTGCGCGCGGTCATATCCACTTTTTTCCGAGTCGCTCCATTTTCATCTCCTTTTCTGTGCACTATGTGAGAGGGTACAATGTCTTCTTCCTTTGAAACCAAATTTCATGCAGTTCTCAAAACTAGTGAAATAACAACATCTCCTTAGTCAGTCCTCAAATTGAACTCACTAAGGGCTCTGGCACGTTACATCTAGCGGCAGTCTAACGTATCAGGAAGCTCTTATGGGCAACAGTTCAACTCTTCAATAAGTTTGGAACCACCACAGATGGAAAATTCGGAGACTCGAAAGTTACAGTTACCACCAGGATAATTATCAGATGCAGAAACTAGGTCTCCCCTTGTCGACTTTCGTACTCCCAAAATGAAAAAATTCGATGTGAAAACCCAGCCAGACACTCTAAAGACTCCACATCTGTAGTGGATAGAAAGCCACTTGAGTACCATACTTGGGACGTTTTACTGGACCGAGCACCCAAGAGTACCCAAAAATAGGGCAAAAACTCTCCAAATAGCTATTTTTCGCTCACGAAGAATTGTTACAATGGAACCCTCCATCTAACAGCTCTAGAATTCTGTATTTTACACCCTGAGACATGGGTAAATGAATGCCCCACAAAACGCCGGTCCCCCTGAAGAAAGCAGAGCAGAAAGGCCTGGAAAACATTTGGCACGCCTTAGTTGCGTACCACCGCACGCGCCATCCCCCTCATCCAAAGGCTAGTGTTAATGGGGGAAGTGGCAGATCTCAATTCTGTTCTGGAATTACTTTAAGATACTAGTTACAAACACTTCCTGTGTAAAGTTTGCTCCATCAAGCTCTTCGTTTTTTTTTTTTTTTTTTTTTTTTTTTTTTTTTTTTTTTTTTTTTTTTTTTTTTTTTTTTTTTTTTTTTTTTTTTTTTTTTTTTTTTTTTTTTTTTTTTTTTTTTTTTTTTTTTTTTTTTTTAACCAAAATTCTTGGTCCTCATAATTTTGGACCACCCTGTAGAACGTTCTCAGGTAAAATACGATCTGGGAAAGCAGCACCACTGTTGATCGGTCATTGCAGTGCAAAAAAAAGATAATTCGTTAATAAAATCAGGATAGATTTGAATTTGCACTGGTCAAAGCTGCTTAACGCAAGTGTTAACACAGCGTTTTTAAACAATTTATTTCACTCTAAATTTCTTGCTCACTGTTGCACTAGACTGAATTTGCAGAATTGGTCATTGAAGGTATCATATTTCTTATGCTTATAGTCATTTCTAAGTTCAAAGAACTCCATAACGCCATTAATAGCCCTCCTTAAAATGTTTCAAGCATGATGATTGTTAGGTTTGCGTTGTATTACAGTTCTCATCAATACGAGTGTTGTTATTTAAGTTTTCAAAAAACAATAAATAGTGATCAAGTCAAAAATGTTCGTTTGTTGGAGAATGTCCAGGTCACATACCTTCTATGATTTATTCAAAAAATCTTTCTACGAACCACTTTTTTCTTGAATAAGTTCAGAGAAAAACCTGGATTAGAATTTGAAAAAAAAGACAAGCTCTTAAATTGTGAGCGCGAAGCTCAACTTGGGATGAAAGAATTCATTCACGGTGACTGGACAAAATTATTGAAGAGAGATTTTATTGGATTACTTCTAACTGTTCGGAATGTTATAAACAAAATCAAATTCCTAAAGTCGGAATTCCTCATTTCATAGGTAAATCTTCGAATCCATTTGGTTCGTTTTTTATCGCAGAGATGAGTTTTGTTTTACAATCTAATTTAGCAATTTAACTTTGTAATCGAATTGGCAAGGCTGACAGTACACCAAAGGACGCGAAGTTAATGAGCCAGACAGACTTCTTCATTTGCATCTCTCTCAAAAGATTTGTGACGGATAGATTTTATGAGGAAGAGTTTTGCGCGATGCAGTGAGAATGAGCGAACGGTTGCGAGACGCAGAGAAGAGGCGGAGTGGGCATTTGTCATATCGATCTTTGCGAGCTGCCCTCGTTCGGATGGTTCACTATGGATACATTTGTTACTTTTCCTCTACACTCTGTCACTCTTGCATGAATACTGTTCAAATGTATCGTGTAGAATCAAGGGCATACTGGGCTTAACTGAATTATTGTTCATGTGTGGATCATATCAAACCTCGTTTGATTTTTATTTTGTGACGAAGCTTCGGACTATAAGTCCTTAGGATTATAAGTTATGCATTACCAAGGTCGACGGACTACTTGCACTCGGCCCTTTAAGCTGCCTCACTCGACGCTTTCGTCTGCGCTCTCTCACCCCCACTCCACTTCGCCCTCCTCGTTGGACCTTACACCAAGGGACATTGCCCTGATTCTGAGATGGTCGAACTACCTTAGAGACACATTTTTCACTGAGTCGGTGTTTCGACATTGATATCAATAATTGAAGCAGCCATTAGATGAGAGGACATTTTGTGAACATGAGCCAGTAAGTTTGAAACGAATGATCTCA